GTTGTAACATTACTGACATAATAATGAAGGATATTTTCAGTCCAAATTCTTTTTTTTTTTAAACATTGTAATTTTCAAAAAATAAAAAAAATGTATATATTATATATATATATATATAAATTCAGATTTGGTGAACATAAAATGTTTTCTTTCACAAAAATTAAAAAATCGTGCCAACCCCAAACTTTAAACAGTAGTAAAATACCAACATAAAAGTCTTTTTTTGTTGTTGTTGTTGTTGTTAAATATCTGTAACCTTATGGTTGTCAATTGATTTGCGAATGTTGTTTCATTAACTTTAAGATGATATATGCTACTTGTGATTATATTTAGCTGTGATATATTTTTATCTAGTACAAGTAAATTTTTTCTAACTACATTTATATCTTGGTTTGAGTTTGATGAACTGCAATTTTCTAATTTCTAGGGACAGAACAAGACTTCAGAAGTCCATTCATGACTATAAGAACAGCAGATTCAATTGAACCCTGTGAAGCATCATCAAGGTTGGCAAGGACACACGCAGACACCAGCATACATTCATAAGCATACAATCTGACGTCTATGCACTTGTCAAATGGCATATCCAAGGTTTAAGTCACCGGGGCTAATGCAAGCTATTAATTACAAGCTCAGAGTGGGGGTGACATTTAAAGAGTGGGGAAGAGGCTGGCCCATTCACTCAGCCGTTACAGTAAGCTTATTAAAGATTTAACAGCGTCGTCGTGAGCAATGAGTCATTCCCTCCAAAAACCCCTGATAAATTATTGCCTTTATTTCACAACATCAGAGAACAAAGATAACAGAGGGAAATAGAATACTATGTTGATACATAAAACTGTATTTCCCACTGTTCCCACACAGCAGCAGCCGTTTTAAAGTGCATCAGATGAAGCATTTTAACTAGTTTAATCAGGGTTTGCCTGCATTTTCCCAGAACTTTGTATTAAAAAAAAAAAACCTGCCAGCACATATCTTATCCGTTGCACTGCAGCAGAGGCGTCATGCACATTCGTGCCCCCTCAGATTTCTGAGCCAAGTGGATTTTGAATGCAGCTTCCAAAAGACAAAAAATAGCCGAATAATATTTTTTATATTTGATACAACAATCACACCGGTGTGATTAGAACGTTCAGTGCGTCATATCATCAGCTGCTAAATTCAAATCTGCGTTCGCTGGCTGGCGCTGAGCCAGATACAGACGCCCAGATACAGACGCGTTTTTACAGCACTGCGCATTATAACCAATCACACACGATTCTGTTGAGCTTGTTAATGCAATGGCCAATCAGAGAAGTTCAGATGAGTCATCGCTGAAACGCGGTGTTTTGTTCACTTGCTCGCTGACTGAATACCTCTTTCTGGCGAATTCTCTCGTTAGAAACAACAAAGTGCAGATGTGCGTACGAATGTAAGTAAGATATTAATTTCACAGTGTAAACAGCTTCAGTGATTTTAATGGGAGTTTTTGAGAGTGCCTGAACTCTGGCTAGACTGAATGAAAATGTTCTTTGATAATGTAAATGTTCTTTGCTCTCTGTAAAATGAAAGTGTTATAATTAGTAACTTACAATATTGTTATTAAATTAATATTAAATACAAAGTCAGTCGTATAAAAAAATATTTTATGGCATGACACCCATATCTAGTACTTAAAGGGGTCATATGATGTTGCTAAAAAGAACATTATTTTGTGTATTTCGTGTAATGAAATGTGTTTATGCGGTTTAAAGTTCAAAAAACACATTATTTTCCACATACTGTACATTATTGTTTCTCCTCTATGCCCCGACTTATACTGTCTTTTTACGCATTGCGTTGCATCGCACCGCGTAAACATAAAATCATGTCTGCATTTGTGATCGGAGAAATGACAAATAAGCACTACTCTACACTGCTCAAAACTCGGGTTTGAAACATCACAACTTAACCACTGATTTCTACTCGTGTCCTCTTTTGGAAGACCAATCAAAGAAGTTTCGCTTTCACAACGAAACACTCAGCGGGCTAGAGTGAGCGGCGGCGGGCGGGCTTGACTTTGCATGAACATTTGGGCGGCGTTATGCAAATCTTCCCACACAATGACATGTGGCGCTTTTCCACTGCGTGGTACGACTCGGCTCGGTACCTGTCGAGTTTTTATTTGTAGTTAATAGATTACACTAGTCTACTTTGCCCATCACCATTTATTGATTAAATAACATAATCTATAAAGGTGCAAAATGCATTTACTTACACATATTTGAGAATCGAGATATTTCTTCATATAGGTAACACGTTTGGAAATATTTTGAATAAAAAGAGAAAAAAGTAAAAAAAGCGTTTTCGAGCTTTGTCCTCCTCAGAAAGACACCCTCTGTCACTTCTTAATCATCCTCTTGTTCTTTTTTCTCCTTTGCTGCAGTTGTTGTCGACTGTTTCTGTCAAACAGAAAGCATTTCTGTGCTTTCACCATTTAACTCACGTTCTCTCTGTATACGGTCTCGCTCTCCTTATCCGTCTCATCTTTGTCTCTCTGGCCGTCTTTCTTGCTGATTTACTGCTAATCTGTTCATCAGACCGTCCCTGTCGTCCCTTGCTAAGTAACCAAATGTCTTCTGACCACAGGCCGTTAAGCTGGAGTGAGGACATGCTGCTTGTGTTTTTCTATTATTTAGGCTTGTTTAAACAGGCTTGGTGACAGATATTAATGGGGTATGTGTTCTGGTCAAACTTTTGGGGTATAATCAGTCTATTTTAACACCTTGACTTCACCAGGCATTTCATCTGAATGCAAAATTTGTTCAAGCCACGTGAAATAATGATTAAATCTAACTGGTTGTATCAGCAGCAGACTGAACAAATGCAGAACTCAAATGACACTAAATAAATAAAAAATTGCTCCATTATTTGTAAATTGTTACATTAAGGAGCAATTTCTTCCTCATCTGACACTTCTAGGAAAGTCTAGAAAAAAAATCACTTGATTTAAATAATACATTTGACATGAATAAAGCCAGTTAATTTAGATGCATCCGCATTCAGAACATTTTTCAGTTTAACTGACAAAACATTTTTATAGTGTAGGCAACACAACTCAAACCTCCGCACAGATTTTAATGACTCATAAATAATTGCAGCAAGCCAGTAATTAATACTTCTCAAATGCAAGAATAGCTCTTACTGTAATAATAATGCTGTCTGTGATTCTAGGATATGAAATAATGACCAGATTTTAATAATCTCCACCTCTGTGACGGACGAGAAATCAAACTCAGATCCTGAAGTACTGAATGCTGATTAAGTAGAGAGGAAATGAGAGACACCTGAAGGTAAGATGAGAAACTGAACAGCTTCCTGCACTTCCCTTTGTGAGCTCTGGTGCGGTGGTTGGAGCGTTCGAGTGGTACTCTGTTTTGGCATTTTCCGGAGCTCTTCAGTGCCCACCAGATACTCTGTATCTCCATTTCTGAGAGGCTCTGAAAAATGTAATTAGCTTATAACCATTTAGCTACATTAATATTCATTAAAATGGCATTTTGAACTAAATGCTAATTACAGCCAAGATGGACAGACTCATTCTACATTTTTGTTGTTGTCGTTGGTTTGCTTTCTTCTTAATTGAAAACACTTTTGACGAATGAATTTTCACTGAGGTGAAAAGAACAGAAAGGCTTTTTGGAGTTTTTAAAAGGGTGCCAAAATGCATGTGGGGAGAGCAGGGCCAGGTTTAACATTTTTGGGTCACCCAGCAAATTTCGCATTTGAGATCAGACTGGAAACTGACATGATTTATTGTAAGTCCTGATTAGCTAACTGTAATAATAATAATTAAATAAATAAATATGTGCAGAACACAACGATTCCTCCAATCTCTTGTGGCCAACAGGGGTGCCCAAGCAATCCAATAAATTCAATTTTTTTCCCTCATTTAAGAAGCCGTTTCACTTCCATTTCATGCAACTTGTGTAACATTAAGCCTACCACCACACCTCCAGAGGTCCCCCTCTCCTAAATGAGAGTAATGAGTGGTAGCCCAATGATTAAAATAATCTATTTTTATCATTTCCTGTTTGTATGTTTAAGGGGGAATTCAATGTAGCAGACTACTTTTACTGTGTCTACATGTAAAGATATAGGTTAAAGATAAAAGATAAATAGATAAAGATAAGTAGTAAGTGTAGAATGGTAGCATGCTATTTCAATTACGGCGGGTGACTTCCAAATGGTATTTTTGTACCCTTGAAAGCCTCCGTGGAAAGATGAAGCTATTCATGGCATTGTTCCAAACTAAAGTGAATTTCCCTTCATGAAAGTCCTTCAAGGCTGTTTATACCAGACAACAGTCACTTTGAGGAGGTGATATCACTTTCTATACATATAGTGCTCAAGGTGAATACATAAAAATTTACAAATAATATTGACATATTGGCTGAGTCCGACATTTAACTTTTTACACTCTTATATAGAGTACTATTTGATGGGACAGCCCTCTGAAGTCATGTTCAATCTATAGTGGAAATTATCAAGTGTGCTCATTTAGTCCCATAAGGCACCTTAATAATGAGTATACAACTGATGTACAGTGTTAATTTTGTCAACGAATACGAGGACGAAAAATATTCGTTAACGAAATTTTTTTCTGTGACTAAGACGAGACGTTGACGAGCTAAAACTAATATCTGATGATAAAAACTATGACGAAATTTATTCTGCGTCTTCGTTAACAAGACGAGACAGGACTATAATGTTATTTGAGGACTACCGGACATTCAAAATACATCCTATAGGTTACTGTCTTGTCCTTCAAAATGTGCGTCCCTGTCATTGGATTGCAATGGGATAAGGGGCATTTGCATATCTAGTCTCAGTATGGTAGCCGCAGTGATAGACTACCAAAACGCGAACTAGCGATCTGAAACAATGGCCTCAGCACCCGAAGAGGTAGGGATAAGGTGACCAGACGCCCCATTTTTCCAGGGAGTCACAATTCGTTGTTGATTAACTTAAAGTAAGTGAAGGCGGTATAGGCGGAATCGCGCTGATAGAAGTGCTCTCTCTCGCGCACGCATTCCTAATTAAAGGGTTAGTTTACCCAAAGAAGGTGTAGGGATAAGTTGACCAGACGTCCCGTATTTCCCGGGAGTCACAATTCGTTGTCGATTAACTTAAAGTTAGTGATAGGCGGAATCGTGCTGATAGAAGTGCTGTCTCTCGAGCACGCTCCACTTCTTCAGTTCTCATATACAGCGCGCGATCAGTTCTCAGTGCTCAAATACACACACAGCAGTCCTAATGTCTATAGTGTAGAGTATCTCACATTCGGTTATGGATTAAGTTAACATAAACAGGTGGGTGAAAACTGAACGTGTATCAGTATTACATCCATGCCTTCCGTCTTAAAGGGACAGACAGCATTCCTAATTAAGTACCTATCTTATATATATATGAACAACTATAATTTTTATAAGTTGCTCCCTTTTCAGTGCTGTTAAAGGGATAGTTCACCCAAAAATGAAAATTGTCATCATTTATTCAAGTTTTTCCAAATTCAATCCTTGATTCAAATTTCTCATAAGCTTAATTGATTTGGTCTAAAGAGAGAAGAATTAATGACTATTTTTGTTTGAAAACTACATATAAAATAGCTACCAAAATAAATGTTGGTAACTGCAGTTTGACTAAAATAATGACTAAAAGTAATGACTAAAAGTTGACAAAAATGCAATGACTTTTCGTCAACTAAAACTATGAAAGACTCAAATTACTAAAATGTGACTAAGACTATTAAGCATTTTCATCTCAAGATAAAGACTAAGACTGAATCAAAAATGCCTGTCAAAATTAACACTGCTGATGTACACTCAACGACTAGTTGCTAGAGAATACCCATTCACTGTTAATGTCGCAATTATTGAATATCAGTGCTCATTCACTCACTCATTTTCATTCACTCATTCGGTGGACTACATTGGAGCAGGAGCGTAGAATTAGGGGGGGACGCTGGGGACATGTCCCTACTAATATCCAGCGACTACCAAATTGTACCTAGCAATAATTTTGATCAAAAAATTAAATATATGTATATGTTTTTGTAATTTCTGATGCATCTGAAATATGTCATATCATTGATATTACCTAAGAAGTTAAAGTAAATACGTTAGAAAACTGCACGCTTTCAAGGACACACGTTTAATACATGGGCGGCATAAGAATGTAATGTCGTCACATGCCGGATGAGAAGCGCAGCGCAGAGTCTAGAACAACACACAGGTATTGGACCCAGTTCAAAACAGCAGTCCAAAATAGTTAATATAAAAGTTCACTTCAGGAATTAACTAAGTTGTGCTGATGAGTTTGAAATACGGTGTTCGACAAAACAGAGCAAGCGGAAAGAGAAAGTGCAACCTATTTATATTATTAGCGCTCTATATAAAGCATACGGACAGAAAGACAAACGTTGTGCTGAAAGATACACAATACACAATCTTCCAGCCTAGGATGAAGTCATTATGTACATTAACAATAATTTGGGACAAATATAATGTGATTTAAACTGTGATTTTAAATCTGCTTTTATGTACCCACCAATGTCAGAAGCAAACCTGTGCCCTTGTAGTGGAGTAATGTGAGGAATAGTGAATGAGGGTATGGGGGCAATTTCAGATGTAGCCATAGAGCACTGAACTGATGACATATTTTTTAAGCCAACCCAGAAGTTAACACAGAAGTTAAAAACATTTTCCCTTGAGTTAGAATAGTTTGCAAGAGCATGATTGCAACATCGAGGCTATGAAAGTGGAGTGATGAGTTTACCTGTTGATTGTGAATGATGCTTAATGTGCCAAATTAATATTTTTTATATTTAAAATATATTTAGTTTGTGTGAACCACAGATCTTATTTCAGCCATTTAACCAAAAACCCATTCAAAAAACCAACTGACTTCAGGACAATGGAATCGGGAATGCAACTTGTTTCTGGGTTTTGGCCTCCAAAAATACATCATGCCATCCACTACTGTCTACTAAGGCTGCATCTGAAATTGCATACATTCCTAATACATGCATTCCTAATATATAGAACCTACTTTTTTAGCAGTCAAAGTAATTACTTATTCAAAATAGGTACCTACTCAAGAGAGTACATTATGTGATTTCAGAGAGCATGCCCATACACAAAACTTCATGCCACAATATCACCAACTCCTGGCCTGGCATGGTAATGTGAGTTTTTACAGCATCCAGGACAGCCAGGAACCTGGACACCCAGATAAACTTCATACAGATTCACAGTGTACATCAGGAAGACAGTTAGGTCTTAAATCAAAATCCTGAACTTCGTAGTACATTTTTTTGGTTGATCTGATCCTTTAATAACATAATTTTATTCAATTTTTATAATGCAGACATGGGTGTGAAGATTGAAACGCACTTGTTTTTAATAATATATACTTTTAATAAAAAGATGGAAGAATTTTTCAGCAACATAATCAGCATTGTAAATTCTCTTTCTCCTCTTCAGCTAAAGGAAGGCAGTCCTGATTTTCGCTTTTCTGCTCTAATCTCCTCCTTTGCTTAAGAGGGTGCCATCAAACTGCAATTCCCCTCTTCCACTCACTCATCAGCCTGTCATTTCAAGGGCCGTGTGACTGAATTATCCTCTACACTCTCCTGCTCAGTATTATGGCAGTTGCTACAGATTCACCTCCCCTTTTTTTCACAGTAAATATCTGCCTTCACCCAGTGACTGCTGACTGTGGCCCCGCACCTCTGGAGGACAAATACCCATATCAGACAAAAGAGACGCAGCCAGCCACGACGATGCTCCTGATGAAAGCGTAACAGAAAAAAAAGCACTACTTTATCTCAAGCGTGATCATGGCGAGTATGAACATTTTGTTATCAGCCAGTCCTAAAGCTCTGACCTTGAGTTTTCATTGAGAGTTAGGGCAGCATGAACACTGAGAGGTGATACAGTCAGGCTCCAGGGATTGATGTGTCAATTTCTGGTGAAATGTGTTCGCTGAAACTTTTTTATCTTTCTTTTCTTCTGACTGCTTCACAGGTTGGCTTTGGACGCAAACATTGTAAGATATATAAACACTTCAGAGCAGTATCAATGCTTCATGGCAAGGATGTCACCACATATTCAGAGGCCTGACTCATGACGCAAGTTGAACAAACTTGGTTACAGCCAGACATATGTAAGATTTCTTACTTTCTATTCATCATAGAATCGTGAGGAAAAAATGGTTTCTGTTTTCAACATTGATAATAATAAGAAATGTTTCTTGAGCAGCAAATCAGCATATTAGAAAGATTTCTGAAGGATCATGTGACACTGAAGTGGTTGGTTTGGCTGGTTGGTTGGTTGGTTTGGCTGGTTGGTTCGTTGGTTGGTTGGTTGGTTGGTTGGTTTGGCTGGTTGGTTGGTTGGTTGATGCAGCATTGGTGAGCATAAGAGACTTCTTTCAAAACATAAAAAAATTATACCGACCCCAAACATTTTGTATCACTAGGTTGTAGACTTCACTAGATCTTCATGTTTGTTTTTTTTTTAATTCAAAGTTTCATTTTTCATATCAAAAAACGGTACACAGACTCTTGTTAACAGCATCACCAACTTCAAATAAACATGCAGCAATAATAGTTTTAATATCTGGCTTAAAATTACCTAATTATAACATTTAAATAATTTTCCAAATGAAACAGTTAAATAAAATAGGAATAGACAGTTGTATTCACAAATATCGTTCACTTGCTATTCAATAACATTGTAGCTTGCCGTTTTGAGAAAGCGCTTCTCATTTAGTGCAATATAGATCAGACGATCTGTAAAACTGTTGTGTGAACTGCTCATTATTGAAGTTCTGTCCACAACAGTTACAGCTGAAGTTGAGGAAGATTTTTTTCAGTCTCTTTTCAAATACTGAGCAACTACTAGCATAGTTTATGCACGGCTGGAACCATGCAGTCTCCTGAGACATCTGCTTGGTGTTGGAGACAGAGAGTGGGTTGGAGAGAGATCCCTGGTGGGCAGAACGAAAGACAAACAATCCGTCAATAAAGAACCTCCATCAATAGTGCCCTCTAGAGGAGGGGGTCAAAATAACAGAGCTAGTGTGGGAAAATAACACGCCATGTGTGGAAATTCAATGCTGTGAAGCTAGGGATGGTTGCTAGGGTGGGTGCTAGATGGTTGCTAAGGTGCTCCGAGTGGTTATGAGTTTAGAGCTGCGTGGGAGGACCAGACGGGGATAAAGAGACTCGCTGGAGAACGGAGAGAGAGCGAGTCTGGTGTGAAGAGAGGAGGCATGCAGAGATGTGTACAGTTCAGAGGCAGGTCAGCGTGGTGAGGAGGTGGGGCAGAGTTTTGATGAGCAGTGAGAAGCGACTGGTACTTGGGGCCGAGGTGTCGTCTCTCTGCGGGGGTGGGGAGGGTTTCGATGTGGCAGGTGGGGAGTAAACACAACACGGAAATGACACAAACTCACAAAACACACAGAGGGGGGTCGGCGCTGGTGGAAACGCACCCCAAAAAAGAAAAGACTGTGTGTGTGTGTGTGTGTGTGTGTGTGTGTGTTGTGGCATGGAAAGAAAGACTGAATAAAGGATGCAATTAATTTTTTCTTGATCTTTTGAGAATCAACAGTTCATTGTACTAGAAAAACATACTGTAAGCTTCATAACACAAAACTTCCTCCCCAATGAAAAAAGAGCTCTGAATCTAAGCTGTAAAATGGCTCATTCTGAACTTGGTCACACACAAGAGAGGAGTCGTTTTTGTGTTATTGCTAAGTTGTTTGAAGTTTTAGATATTTAAACTGGGAAAAAATTGTACTGTACAAACCTGAGAGGGAGTTTAAAGACCTTAAGATTAAATCTGAACCAAATATGTTATCAAGGGATTTATCAGTTTGATCAATATCGTTATGAAGTCTTATGTCTTTTAGACAACTTGATTAAAGCTATATGTGACCCTAGACCACAGTATTTTTGGCTATTTCTACAAATATACCCAAGCGACTTAAGACTGGTTTTGTGGTCCAGGATCACATATGTTTTAGCTCTATATGTATGTGCTTTATTCTACCTGTGATGAAACAGCATTGTGCTTCTTGTTAGATGTGTGATCAGAGAAAGAATGGAAAAGTGTATACTAAATAATGACTGTTTTTGGCGCAAAAGCATATGTAGACGTGACTTCATAAGTAGACAATATGACATATATGATCTCTTCTGTATCTTGTGCATTTCATTCACAATGGATGCATAAATGACCGCATATAGTATGCGCACACACCTGCCAAACTCTGTTGTCCCCCTTCAGATATGTTTCTCCTGACCACTGCACTCCAGCAATAGCTCTCAATCTC